ACAGAAGAGATTTCTCTGGCACCTATCCTACCAATCTAACAAAGCCAAACTGTTGCCCTCATATAAGGAACGTCTTGCCTATTTTAAAATGACAAGCCTACAAGGGCGAAGATTGTTTTTGGATCAATTACTTTTTTATAAGATTATCAATGGCCTCATTGACTGCCCTGCGTTATTGCGATCTGTCAATTTTAATATCCCATACAAGTTGCCGCGTCGCGTACGATACGTTCCATTTTTACCAAAAGGTGCCAAAAGTAGCTTAGGTCACCACGCCACCATGAATCGCTTACAGAGACAGTACATCGTAATATCTAAGTCTTACAACATCGACATCTTTTCTGACAAGCCGTTGAAATTTAGACGCAAGCTCGGTCAGTTTCTCGAGTCAATGGTGTGTGTTTGATTCAAGTATCTATATCTATAGTTTGATTTTTTTTTAACATATAAAAATAATTATTGTTAAATGATGATTAAAATGTTTAAGTTTTCATTTGCTTAGTATTAACTAACCTATTTAAGTTTTATTTGCATAGTCCACATTTGCATGCCGTGGCAGCCTATAATTAAGATGACGCTTAGCTTTAGTTTTATATTCATGTTACCTTAATATCCATGTATTAGTGTTCGTCTTGTTGGTTGTCCTTTTAAATAAATAAAATAAAATAAATAAATAAATATTTACTTAATACTAACTTATTGAATTTTTTTTTTATTTACCAAAACTAAGTTTACAAATGCGTAGTACTGCCAATGTCTAGCTAAATCTACGTTGTTCAATTTAGTTTACTTATACGTAAACAGAAACTTCGTATTACTGCATCATAATTTTTGATAAAAACGAACATGCGATATAAAAAGATCTGTAATTGTTACATATGCGCCTTTCATTATCTAAATTTGCACGCAATTGTAATTCTGTGTCACGGTCAAAAAAATTCGCGCAATGCATCGCTAGCAATTAATCGATCTATATACTATATCGATATTTGGTAAGTGATCCACAAGATCCAGAGAATCCACATGCCATAATCATAAGCTCCAGTAATTTAATTTAATTTATACCTGGTAGAGCCATGCTGCGGCATTAATATAGCTGCAGCACGAATGGGTGGGCCAGGCCGGGGTAGGAACACGCTAACAGAATATCAGAGTAAAATAGCAGCTTAATGCTGCTGTGTTTCGTATGATGAGTGTAGATAACCGGAGACACTTTTTACTGGAAACGAGGCATTCCATCTTGGTCCTCAGGGTTTACAACGCATCTGCATTTTGGTTCTTAATCAAGAAAAGATGTAGACGTCTATGGGCTATAGCATCCGCTTATCATTGAGTGAACTGTCTGCTAATTTGTCACCGTCATTCTGTAAAAGCATATTTCGCCGTGTCTTATTTTATTTTTTATTTTGGGTTATTTCTAAAAGGAAAAGCAACATACGTCCTAGAGCTGGGTTCAGACCTTCCTTCATTCCCGTGGAAGTACTTATAAGGAGTATAAGAAGTATCCCGTTTATATAGTGCTAAGGTAGAGTCTGCTCTACATGTAATTTCCTAATGTGCTACCCTCGATATTTTTTAAACTTCTTGGTCGAACAAGTTAACTTGTAAATAATCACTTAAAATTGCAATAACCAATTTAAGTCGCGCTGGCGGGCATCGAATTGGGTTTGCCTGAGTACCATGAAATTGTGTGACGTACATTGAAGTAGATATAATGTACTGTACGTAGTAGGTATGTACATAATACTTCAATGTTGACAAACGCAAATTTTTAAGCTAACATGGCTCTATCTTATACTTTATAGGTACTTTTTTATAGGAGAGGGGGTTAACGAGTATGCGGCTCACCTGATGGTAAGTGACTACCGCCGCCCATGAACAACTGCAACGCCAGGGGAATTGCAAATGCGTTGCCGGCCTTTTAAAAAGGAGTAGACTCTTTTCTTGAAGGTCCCTCTAAGTCGTATCGGTCCGGAAAAATCGCTGATGGTAATCGACTCCACAAGGAAGTCGTGCGAGGAAGAAAAATTCTTCTAAATCGCACAGTGGTGGACCGCCAATTATCTAGATGGTATGGATGGTATCGCGAGTTTTGTCCCGATGTGCGATGGTGAAATTGAGGGGCTGGAATTCTGCGGTACTCTTATAGGTACAGACATTGATATTATTGGTACCTTTTTACGTGGTAGAGCTATGCTGCAGCTATATTTATGGTATAGTTGTAACACGAATGGGTCGGCTCAACCGGGGAAGGACCACGCTCTCACAGAATACCAGCGTAAAATAGCAGCTTAATGCTGCTGTGTTTCGTATGGTGAGTGTAGAGAACCGGAGACCATTTTTACTGGAAACGAGGCATTCCATCTTAGTCCTTACTGGTGACAACGCATCTGCATTTTGATTCATAATCGAGGATAAATATAGATGTCTATGGGCCACAGCAACCACTTACCATCAGGTGGACTGTGTGCTTGTTTGTCACCCTATTCTATAAAAAATCTAATATATTTTACGTATGTAAAATTATATTTTTATGGATACATGACAAGTATCCAACTACTTAGTATGAAATAATTTTTCTAATAATAACATTTTATAATCCATTTCATGGGTTATTTGTTACCCAACGATTGTTTATTTTTAGTTAATTAATATTACCATTACCGTTACAGCATTTTAAAAAGTTCACTGCTGAATGTAGGCCTTCCCAATTATATATGCGCCACTAGGTGTTCCCCGCGAATTCGCCCGCGTGTAGTACCGATAATTGCCAGTTGCAAGACTCAGTTTTTTTTTGTTAATATTAGAAAGACGCCACTGCCCGTCTCTTGGTTTGTTTCTTTCTATCGCCTCTTACGTCGCCTGGGTATGATATGGGGTTGTGGATATCCTTATCCCACTACACGACGTTAATTAATATTAACTACATAAAATGTGTTACGAGGGTAAGTATCAGGGGCGGATCTATATAATGGCCTTTTTGGGCTGCAGCCCCATGGATATAAAGGTCCCCCAGCCATTATAGACAAATGTCTATTGATAGCTTTAAAAATAATTATAATGATATTATGAAAATTTTCTCAGTTTAAGTGAAAAGACGGATATGAAAGTTAATTATCGAAACGTAAGATATACGAGTATCATTATTGGTAACAAGTGTATAATATTTTATACGTGGTAGAGCCATGCTGCAGCTATATTAGTAGTATTGTTGTAGCACGAATGGGTCGGGTCGACCGGGGAAGGACCACGCTCTCACAGAAAACCAGCGTAAAATAGCAGCTTAACACTGCTGTGTTTCGTATGGTGAGTGTAGAGAACCGGAGACCCTTTTTTTACTGGCAAAGAGGCGTTCCATCTTAGTCCTCACGGGTGACAACGCATCTGCATCTTGAGTCTTTATTGAGGATAGATGTAGATGTCTATGGGTCACAGTAACCACTTACCATCAGGTGGACTGTGTGCTCGTTTGTCACCCTATCCTATAAAAAAAATAATAAAAATAAAATATAATGTTGGTTATAAGTTTATTATACTTCTGGCATAAGTATTTTAAATACTTAAAAGGTCTCAACCTTAACACTGTACTAATTTACAATGTCCTTGTTACCCAATAAACATTATTATTAATATCAGTCAATAAAGAAAATATGTTTATGGCATAATGGCCATTAGTTTGATTAATTAGGTATGCTTCAAGTAGTCTAGTGTAGGCTCTACACGATATTATGAGGAGTCAGAATGTGTCAAAAAGGCACGTATGGCAATTCATAATGCTGTGTTAGTCCCTACTTTAATGTATGGTAGTGAAAGTTGGGTCTGGCAGAAGAAGCATGAGAGTAGAATAAATGCTGTAGAAATGCGGTGATGTTGTGACAAGTACATAGATAACTCCTTCCTTTTATATGGATGAAGTGAGTATACCTCAAAACTTGAAAACGAGACTGTACACCCAGTGCGTGTTGCCAGTGATGACATACGGAACTGAGACGTGGTCCTTCACTGCTGGCCGGATGAGGAAGCTCAAGGTCGCTCAGCGAGCTATGGAGAGGGCTATGCTCGGAGTTTCTCTGCGTGATAAACTCAGAAATGAGGATATGCGCAGTAGAACTAGAGTGACCGACATAGCCCAACGGATTAGTAAGCTGAAGTGGCAATGGGCCGGCCATATAGCTCGAAGAACCGACAACCGATGGGGAAGAAAGGTTCTCGAGTGGCAGCCTCGTACCGGCAGGCGAAGTGTAGGGCGTCCCCCCACTAGATGGAATGACGACCTGGTAAGATATGCAGGAAGTCGATGGATGCAGGTGGCTCAGGACCGTGCTTTGTGGCATTCTTTGGGGGAGGCCTATGTTCAGCAGTGGACTTGTGAAGGGCTGTAATGATGATGATGATGAGTTTTAAAGTTATAGGTTTATTTTTAATTTCTTTGATGCTAAGTTGTTAAGTGTTTAAGTGTATCAGAAACATACAAAAGGACACCGTGTAAATCAACCCCCAACGAAAGTTCAAAGGCAAGTTATTGTTTAGTATAATAAACCTAGCAAGCTAACAGCATAGCAAAGTGGCGAAGCAATCAGCTTTGTAGCGGTTTCTAACGGTTGCCGTTGAGCAATCAGTTTCAAAATAGGAGGTTCAGATGCCTGGGTGATCAGTAATCGATTGCTGAAAACAGAATTTGAAAATTCGAAACCGTTCTCGAGATAATCGTGGGAAAGACGGACAGACGGACAGACATCGTGAAATCAATAAGTGACTTTGCAAGCTTCGCCACTTAATAAGAGATATCATAATAAAAGGTTCGTTCTAATTTTTGAATTTAATTTATTCTAAAATAATAACTTTTATTCTATTCTATAATTTTAATTTCAAAAAACCGTAATGTTATATTAAACAAAAAATACTGATATTTTTTATTCTTCTGTGCTAAAATTCAATAACTAACAATAATGATAACACAGATACTGTTTAACAGGTAAATTTATGCAGTCTCCACTTTCCTAGTGAATAAGAAATGAACGTAGACCATCCAACCCGGTCCCAGCGAGTGGCGCGGCCTCCAGCAGTGTAGGCGCGTTGTGGAGTTCACTACAGAGACGCGTGTGCTGCAGCATTAGCAGTGCTTCGTTGCGCATTTGTCGGTACGCAGCATCCATTTTGCTCAAGACCAATATGAACTGCGGAAGAATTATAATTTATATAAATTGGACCTTCGCAGCCGGATTAAGCAGCCAGCTGAAGGATTGATGTCGAATGACCGCTGCAACCTTTCAGTTGGTCATTCGGGACCAGCTACCAGTTTATATTTAAAGCAAGAAAGAAAAGCGCATAGGGAAGTGATAGGAAATTGTTGAAAGTAAATATTGCACTCTTATGGGAAATTTTGAAGATAAATGCTGTTTCATTTCCTAGAGTATCTTTCACCAATTATCGAAATACAGTCCACAATATAAAGGGACGACGGGACCTGGACCACTTCAAGCGGACCCATAATCTTAGTCGTCTAACCTGTCTTGTGACACTCCTTCACGGGGTTCACATCCGCTTCGTTGTTCCCGAACCCAACGTGGTGTGATTGCAGTTTCGTACCTCATAACTTTTTTCTGGGTGAACCGATTTCGATGATTCGTTGTTTTATTTGAAAGCTGGTGCTTCACATGTGGTCCCATATATATTTGATCAAAGTGTGACCAATAGTTTTTCAGTTATTCTTAATAATTTATATTGAAGTCGGCTGTACAAAATTTTTAAATATCTGGGGGCACGGAAGTGCCCCCGCCAAGTCGAGCAAAAAAGCGGCACGACCGTACCATCCGTTCAGGCCATTTTCGACCCCTTATAACTTCGTTGTGGATAAAACTAGAAACCTAAATTTTCAGTAACCAAGCATGCATTATATAAACACGGTATATTTTAAATTTCATTCAATTTGAACCAGTAGTTTAAGAATTATAACTAGTCAAAGTTTCTTAATTTTGTCACTCACTGACTGACCGATCATCAAAACTTTATGGCACTTCTTAGCAGTCGTACAAGCTTCAAATTTAGAATACAATTAGTGTTTAGTATATAAATCAAGGAAAAATTAAAATATTTTGTAATTTCGGTCCAGGTTTCTAGATACACCAACTGCATAAAGAACTTTGTAATCCAATATAAATATAGGTATAAGATTACAAAATTATATTTGCAGTGAATGAATCAGTGTACCTGTATATGTATAATATGATGGAATAATATATGTAGATAGGTACCTAGATATAATTATGTTCAAAAGCAACTTGGAAAATGGTCAACGGAATGAAAAAGCAAGAATGGGATATGTCTATTTTTTATTTTTATTTTATAGGAGAGGGGGCAAACGAGCTTGCGGGTCACCTGTTGGTAAGTGACTACCGCCGCCCATGAACAACCGCAACACCAGGGGAATTGCAGATGCGTTGCCGGCTTTTTAAAAAGGAGTAGGCGCTTTTCTTGAAGGTCCCCCTGAGTCGTATCGTTCCGGAAAAATCGCTGGTGGTAAACTATTCCACAAGGAAGTTGTGCGAGGAAGAAAACATCTTCTAAATCGCACAGTGGTGGACCGCCAACCATCCAGATGGTGTGGATGGTATCGGGAGTTCTGCCGCGATGTGCGTTTGTGAAATTTGGCGGCTGGGATTAATCCGAACAATTCCTCAGAGCACTCCCCGTGGTGAATGCGAAAGAAAATGCAAAGAGATGCAACATCTTCGCAGCGCCAATGAGTCGAGCCGATCGGAACGGACTCGGTCGTCGACGATTCGAGCCGCTCTGCGCTTGATGCGGTCAATTGGAAGGAGCTGGCACTGGGGAGCCCCTGCCCAGAGATGGGAACAGTATTCCATGTGAGGCCGAACCTGCGCCTTGTAAAGTTGCAGGCGTTGTGTCGGCATGAAATACTGTCCCGCTCTGCTGAGCACACCAAGCTTTTTAGAGGCCAATTTGGCCTTCTCTTCCAAGTGACCACGAAACTGCACGTCACTCGATATGTCGACGCCGAGTATTCTGATACTGGCTGAGGCAACAAGGGGAGTACCTTGAAACTGAGGAGATACGACAAAGGGGTTCTTTTTAGCGGTAAACGCGCAAACTTGTGTCTTCTGAGGATTAAACTGGACTAGATTTAGTCGCCCCCAATCCGAGACTTTGTCCAGCAAAGACTCGAATTCAGACACAAGTTTGTTCCGGTACTCGGCGACGTTTTCCCGAGAAATATTGGCACGGCCGGTGTATAGAGCATCACCAGTGCTGTCATCCGCATAGCAATGAATGCTACCGGCTTGCAACATAGAAGCGCTTTGTGCCAAACCCGATCGAAGGCCTTCGCAATGTCCAAACTAATGGCCAATGCCTCCCCCTTGGAATCTACTGCCTCCGCCCATCTGAGTTAAGTAGACCAGAAGATCACCAGCTGATAGACCCCGACGAAAACCGTATTGGCGGTCACTAATCAGCTGGTGATCCTCAAGGTACCGCATGAGGTGGCAGTTTATAACGGATTCCATTATTTTGGAGAACAAGGGGGTGATGGCGATAGGCCTGTAATTGGACGGGTCTGAGCGGTCGCCTTTTTTAGGGATCGCGTGGACAAAAGCTGTCTTCTATGATTTTGGGACTACGCCTAGGGAGTAGGAGTACCGGAAAAGATGCGTTAGAACCGGTGCCAACTCCGGAGCACATGTCCTCAGCACGATTGGGGGGATTCCGTCGGGCCCACTCGACTTGTGGATATCCAGGGAGAGAAGTGCTCTGTGAACCGAGCGCTGTGAGAACCGCACATCCGGCATGGAGTACTCACACTGCGGGATGGTCGGCGGTGTGTTCCCCCCGTCATCAACAGTCGAGTTGGACGCAAAAAGGGAGCCTAAAAGGTCGGGTTTCTCTTTTGCGTCGTGGGCCAGTAAGTCGTCCTCCCTGTGCAGAGATGGTAGTGACGGCTTACAGAAACTCCCTTGAACAGCGTTGGCGAGAGACCAGAATGCACGGGTTCCCGAAGGAAGGCGAACTAGTTTCTCGCCAATTCTGCCTATGTGCTCTGACTTTGCCCTGGCAATAACTCTTTTGAAGGACCTGGAGGCGAAGTTATACTTCTTTTTAAGTATGCCGGTGTTTAAATCCCGAGTCGCCGAAGCCGCAGCCCACGCTTGATAACACTCCTGCTTACTGCGTAATGCAGTTTTACAGGAGCGACCAAACCACGGCTGAGATCTGCCTCCGATGGTTACCACAGATGATGGAATAAATAGTTCCATTCCCTGTAGCACCACATCAGTAACAGAGTCAGCAACAGCGCTGGGGTCATCCGGCGAGAAGCAAACCATGGGTAGGAACCAAAGAAAGACCGCATTTCGTCCCAATCCGCCGACCTGTAATGCCAAACACGGTGGCAACCTGCAGAATGCAACCGCGAGGGGAGCGTAAGTGGCATAGTGCTGAGAACGCTGTTTGCGTTTCTCCGCTGAATGGCTGTACTTAGCCTTTGTGCTAGAAAAGAACCAGCCCTCTTTTTCAGCAGCGATGACTAGTCGTGGATACAGTTCCATATAGTACATAATATTATGTCGGAGTCTGGTGATGGAGCGCAAAGCCTGGTTTTATTTTCTACTAATCCTTTGCCTACCTTAGAACGCCGGAGCCTTGGTTCTGCTAAAAGTGTATACAGCATCACCGCAGCCGCCGAAACTTGACACAAATTCGACGTATCCACGACAAAAATCACCTGAAACAGTTTATGTCCGATTAAAATATATTTTACTGCGTCTATGTTTTCATTGTTAGACATTTTATTACCCTATTATGTTATTAAAACAAAAAATAAAATCATTTATAAAATATCGTATATTAAACAAACACTTTATAACTCCCGCGGGTGTGAGAATGTCCACTACACCATATCGCCCCGTGGGTATAGTAAAAAGTGGCAAACAAACTCTGCTAAAGGAAAAAGAAAACTGTGGTTGTCAACCCGTATCCCAAGAGTGGCAACTATGCAAATATAAGAGCTGTGTGTCCCTAATGAGTACGTGGGAAGACGGCGGCGGCCGCCGCTCTTGTTGGTGCCGCAAGCGCGCACCAACTTGCTACAGCACGCGCCTTTGACGCGCGCGCTGCTTGCACTTAATGTGGTCTCACAACATACTGATTTGTTCAGCTGTACTCTGAACGAATTCACAAAGGCCGCTTATTGTAAAATATCTTTAAGTTGTGCATAATATACCTATTTATGTTTGTCTAGTTTCTTAGTTTGTAACTGCACTATTGTATTAGGTAATACACCTGTGATGATAGATGTAAGTGGTAAATAAATAAATAAATAAAATAACCCCTATGAGGCAGTCTACAGGTAGGCCTATATTCAGCAGGGTACCTTTGAGCTGTAAAGAATGAAAAACATATATATAAAATAATCAAAATGTAACCTAAAATGTTTCACTTCAATACCAAAAACGCAGGTTTATAATTACACAAACAAATTTCTCGGACTGGTGACTTTAAGCTGGATCACCAGGCCCTTGCATGTAGACTAGTATCTTATTAATATAAGCGAAAGGTACACTATATTGATGAAGTTAAAAAGTTAAAGTTACAGCCTATATACGTAACACTGCTGGGCACAGGCCTCCTCTCATTTCTGAGAGGGTCTTTGGGCAAGGAAATGTCCGCCGCGCTGCCCCAATGCGTGTTGGCGAACCTCACGTCTTCGAAATATTTTTTTTTCTTATTATTCAGGCATGCAAGTTACCACTCGATGTTTTCCTTCACCGCCAAGCATGTGGGAAATCAGCACTTAAAATTGCAATTAACATTTTTATTAGTGCCGGCGGGTATCGAACCCGGGTAGTTCACCGTACTGTGAAATTTACAGTGAGCGTTTAGCCCCTGAGCTATCACGGCTTATTATTGATGAATGGAATTATAATTGTGACGTGTAAACATCAAAAATTTACATTTCTTGTATCTACATAAATAAAAATCAATTGCCGTATGTATGAAAGATTATCACTTGAGAACGACGGGACCAATTTTGATCAAACCTTTTTGTATGTGTTTGAACCAATTTTGATCAAACCTTTTTGTATGTGTTTGTCCCTGGATGGTTTACATTAATAATTGGACCAGGTAGGTAGCGCTGTTGACGAAATCCATAAATTACCCGGTGGGGGATCGTTAGTTTATTATAATCTGAGGAGAATGAAACTTATATCATTCGCAAGGTACTCACTGTAACTAAGGTCGTTAAGTCAGAAAAATAAAAGGTATATTTTCATGATTTTTCCATACAAAACGCTATAACCGATTTAATTGTCAAATTACGATCAGGCAGTAGAAATAGCTATCGCACTCACTAGTGTTTATTAAATGACATATAATTACGAGTAGTTTCTTGAGATGAAATGCACGTATGTAATTTTTCAATAATTCATTAGGAACAAACTTTCATAACTCACTTTTTCAATTCCGTCCAAATAATTACTCCACAGTGTCACCATTTCGCCACCAACCTCCCTAATCGAAAGCACTTGCTTTTTACCTTGCTTGTTCACATAATTAATGTCATAAATGTTGGTCCCAATAGTTGGGACTGGACTGTACGTATAATCTATACCTTCGGCATCTTGTAGTTTTTTTAATAAAGTCGTTTTTCCTGATCCTGTTGGTCCGACGCAGATAACTGGAATATTTTTCTCTAGTTCGTCCATCGTGAACGACTTATATTACGTTTATAATAGGTTAAAATCACATTGTTTGGTCAATAAATTTGTCACGGAGTAAAGTTTCGCTATTCAATAGTAGATGGCGCTAGAAGTAACAGTTGCAACACATTAATCGATAAATATTTAACTACTTACATAAGTTTTTACATTGTAATGACAATTTTTTTATAAATGAACAATCGATGCAATCATTATTTTCATTTATTTATGATGATATGTAATTGCTAAAAGGACATTTGTAGATATTTTATTAGCAAAAGTTGTTGTTGTCTGTTACTAATAGAATAAATTTTACTCTTTATACATAAAACAAGTTTTGTAAATATATTCACATGCTGTTGAAAACAGCTAAATGGATTTTCTAACCCATTAGATATTTGTACCTATTTAATCGCAGATAAAGAATTTTAATTTTAATTTACAATTAGGCAGCATTGGTGATGTCTAGGTAAAATTAAGTTGTTTAATACAAAGTTTGAATAATAACTTTGAAGTTGTAGAAGACAAAAATCTATTTTTGTCAATTTAGTAAAATGAAAATAAATATAAGTACAATAAGATCCCAGTTATTAAACGTTTTTAAAAAAGAAAATATAATAATAATAGTTCTATATACGCTATATATACTATAATGGAATGCGCTTGTGATTTGTAATTGTGAGAAAACGATAAAACTCTGTTTAGTATAGCTATAATGTACAAGGGAACGCTTTAATAAGTGGAATCCGCAACTGGTAGAACTGTTTTTCAATCTCTCCTCTCCCTAACATGGTAGTTTCTCTCTAATATGGCAAGTTCTAGGTTTAATAATATAATGCAAATTCCAAAGTTTTCATGCTGTGGTTTATTTAAATGAATATACCATAAAATCCCAGTTATATATAACCACCAGTATATATAGTAACCCAGTTATATATACCATAAAATCCCAGTTATATATAACTGGGATTTTATGGTATATTCATTTGCTTTAAATAAATAAAGAAAAAAGTCCGCTATGTAGAGCTAGAATGTATTTAATGCTTAATCAGACGCATTACTGTTAAAGATAGGCGTTTTAACGATAAGCATATAATGTAACAACACTTTTCAATGTAAGCAATTTAAGAATTTAAATTTAAAAAGCAATTAACGTTAATTGCTTAAACCTAAATTAAACAGGCTCGCCAGCATATTGATGAATTTTTAAAACACCGCCATCTAGGGCAGTTAGCAATCAACAACACAGCTATTAGACAAGTGACTCCAAAAATATAATAATTCAAACAAAGAGAATATAATCACTAAGTTTAAGAGGCGGGACTTCCTAAGTAAAAGTAAGTGTATGAAAGGGTGCCAAGATACTCTAGCAACATCAATTCAAATTATATTCAGACAGTCCTAAGACTGTGTTAAGTCCGAAGGAAAGTTCGTTGAATTTATAATCTAATGAAGTAAACTAACAGACTAACTGCAGAGAACAGCAAATAATGTTTTTCCTGACGTAATTTTTTACATCGGGTCACGTTTAATTATAACACGTAAAATAAGCAAATAAGCAGTTATAAGTTTGTTGTCTTATTTAAGCTGTTATTAAGATCTATAATCAATTAATTCTGGCACTGGTAGAGCTGTTTTCAGCCTCTTTTATCTCTATCATGATAGTCTCTTTAACATTGAAAGTACTAAGTAAATGTTGTAGTACAGAGTTTTCATGCTGTGGTTTATTAAAATGAATACATTAAAATCCCAGTAATATATACTGCATGTATTAAATGCACAAGCAGTACGTTTTACTTTGTGGACTCTGGCTCTGGTAGAGCTGTTTTTAGTTTCTCTGACAAGTACTAGGGTAAATGTTGTAATGAGGGCTAATAATTTCCTGCTCGCTAGATGTCGCTAGTTGACTCGGAAGTAAAGGTTTTTGTTACACAATGTCATTTAATTGAGAAGTTAGTTTTTAATAAAAGTTTATCAGTTTTGAAAGTATTATATTAATACACAAAACAATGCTCAGTAGTTTGCTCTTTAATTTTTTTGCATATTTATATTTTTTTCAATTTTTCTCCTTTTATGAATATCTGTGGTTTGGTTTATTTATTTTTAATCTTACTGATATAAAATATAGCTAACACCACAGAAAGAAACATTAACCTTTACATTTTCCGCACAAATTAACTTCCCCGCTGTGATATCTGACAAATATTATATCTCACTTTTAAGTGACGCCGCCCTGGTGGCAGAAAAAGTCGTGGATGCCCGTCGACTAGCGACATCTGGTGAGCGGAAGATTATTAGCCCCATTCGCTACGGGAACACGTACATCTGCAACAAACTTCAAATAAAGAAGGTCCTGTCCCTCCTAAGGGTTAAAATGGCAATTCTATTTGTCGGCAGTTAAATGTAAGGGAGGATTACTTGCGTAGGCGGAATACTAGGCAGAAAAGAAGTCTTACTTCCTAAGCCAACCATTATCAGCAATGCTATAAACACTGCTGTTCCCTTTAACCGAGGCGTGACTGCTTGTGCTATGTGATTCACAAATTTTGAGTTTAGCAGTCTACATCCTCGTCCATTAAGCTACTGTCGTTTTAAAAATTCGCTTATAAATATTCAAAAAATTAACACAAAATAATTAAAAATTAAAATTTTCTTACAACCGACTTTAGTATTTATTTTTTTTCTCACCACAATACAGAATTATTGTACATAATATTATAGTATAGTATCAATAATATACTGTGGGAGACTGGTGCCTAAGCTAGGCTTGACGCCTGTATTTCAGGAAGTATAAATTATTAAGAATAACTCAAAAAATATTGGTCAGACCTTGATCAATTTATACGGGACCACCAGCCTTCAAATAAAAAAAAAACATCGAAATCGGTTCACACAGAAAATAGATATGAGGTAACACACATAAAATAACATACAGTCGAATTGAATACCTCCTCCTGTTTGAAGTCGGTAGATAAATATTATTGTTTTGCTGATATTGCAATAAAATACTGGTGTGAAATTTTTTAACTTTCTGTAGAACGTGCGCGTATTTTAAGATAAGGTTTTTCTTTAATCTGTGATCATAGATATGCGTAAAGATTAATCAGATAGACGGTTAACTGGACGTAATGAATAATTACTATTACCTACGATTTGTATGACGTACATAATAAACTTTACATTATATGAAACTACGTACATAATATACTTTGTATTATCTACTTAGTAGTAGAAATGTCATTTAAAATGAACTCATTTAAATGACATTTCTAAAGAAAAGTAATCGTGTTTGTATACTTAGTGAATAATTACTCTTACTATTCGTTGTATGACATACATAATTTACATAATATAAAACTACGAACATAATATAAAATTATGTACTTAGTAGCAGAAACGTCATTTACATGTAAATGACATTTATAAAAATAAATAAAATTGAAGTGTCTGTTTGTAATGTCAAAATAACAGTTTTTTACTAAATGCATGTGTGCAACCCCGTGTAGTGGCGGGTAAGAATACTCACTACCCCATATCTTCCCGTGGGTGTCATAAAAGGCGACAGAGGGAAACTGTGAGGCAGAGGATGGGCAGCAGCATCTTTCTGATCAACAGCAAAACAACAATAAAAAAACTGCGGTTGCCAACCCGCTCGCCAAGCGTGGCAACTATGGCAATATACCCCCCATGAAAGTAACGAAGAGACGGCCCCCAATCCCCGGTGGCCCCGATATTCCTGGCTACGGTGGCGACCATGTTAACGGCGGGGCAGGGGGTGCTAAGAATCTCCGGTGGAGGTTTGGTTGCCACCTACGACGACTCGACCTGGCAACTTATAACGCACGCACCCTGAGGACTGACGAGGAGATCCTGGAGCTGGAAGAAGAGATAGACAAGTTGCGCTGGAATGTCATAGGATTATCTGAAGTCCGAAGAGAGGGGGAGGACACGGTGATCCTTGAATCCGGCAATTTGTTCTATCACCGGGAGGGCGACCATCTGTCCCAAGGAGGTGTCGGATTTATTATCCACAAGTCTCTCGTTAACAACGTTGTAAAGATTGGGAGTGTATCGACGAGGGTTGCGTACCTTATACTCAGAATCACCAAACGGTATTCGCTGAAGGTCATACAGGTTTACGCACCAACCTCGGCACACTCCGATGAGGAGGTGGAGGCAATGTATGAGGATATCTCTAGAGCCATGCATTCCTCCAAAACCCACTATACGGTGTTAATGGGAGACTTCAACGCAAAACTAGGCACAAGAGAGAAAGGTGAGCTGAAAGTAGGGTAATTCGGAATAGGGCAACGGAACCCAAGGGTGCCAGCAGCTGGCCGACTTCACGGAGAAAGATGACTCTTTATGATGAAATCTTTCTTCCAGAAGCGGCCCCACAGGCAGTGGACCTGGTCGAGCCCCGACGGTTCGACAAAAAATGAGATTGAACTCGGTCGATCAGAGCTGGCACTGGGGAGCTGCTGCCCAGAGATGGGAACAGTACTCCATGTGAGGTCGAATCTGTGCCTTGTAAAGTTGCAAGCGGTGTGCCGGCATGAAATACTGTCCCGCTCTGCTGAGCACGCCAAGTTTAAACGTAATAAGCTGAAATAACAAAGCATGTGCAAGCTACTCGTATTATTGTAGTTTTTTGTGTCAAGTGTCGAGACATTTTGAGATTTTAATGATTTGTTCATAGACGTCCTTCTGTATTCTGTCTATTTTAAAAATAATGTCAAATGCATTAAGCATATATTTTAATTTTAATTATTAAATGAAGCTACTATTTGACGCTGGTGTTTTCTTAGAGAGTAGACCTTTCCCGATATCCTATTTGCTCACTCATTTTTTTATAGCTATATTACAGCTGCAGCTTTGACTGCCTTATTGATCTAGTGGTCGTAAGCGTGACTCATGAGGTTCCAGCTAGGGCCAAATTCATTTATTGAGTTTTTCTGTTCAAGAAAAAGTTCTTCTCACTAACAACTCGGCAGTGTTTCACCCGC